ATCTTCCCGCGGCAAGGGAAGGTTTGGCGCCGGCGGTGGCGGCTACTCCAACAGCTCATGCGGCGGCGGACGCTCCGGTAACTTCAAAGGGCGTCGTGGTGGTGGCAGTGGTGGTTCCAACAGGTCCCGTCCGGACTTGCCTTGCTGCCAAATCTGTGGCAAACCTGGTCATACGGCAAAGGACTGTTGGTACCGCTACGAAGAAGATGACGGTGATTCCTCGCAAGATGAAGAGAAAGTTGTTGCGGCGGCCGATGGCTCCTATGGAGTAGACACCAACTGGTACGTTGACAGCGGCGCCACCAACCACATCACCAACAAACTCGAGAAGGTCACCATGAAGGAGAAATATCGTGGCAAAAATCAAATTCATACGGCCAGTGGTGAAGATATGGGTATACGTCACATTGGCCACTCAATTTTTAATACCCCTAGTTGTAAAATTCATCTCAAAAGAATTCTACATGTCCCTAGTGCTCACAAGAATCTTCTCTCTATTCATAGAATTGCTATTGACAATCATGTTTTTCTCGAGTTTCATCCTTTCTTCATTTTGATCAAGGATCAGGCCACGAAGAAAGTTCTCTATCGAGGTAGATGCGTTCGAGGGCTCTACCCGTTGATTCCGGAGTTTAGAAGATTAAATAAACAAGCTTGTGGTGTCATCAAGCTGTCGTCCACACGATGGCATGATCGTTTAGGACATGCCTCTTTTTCTTTGGTTGAAAAATTACTTAGGATAAATAAGCTCCCGTTTATTGGTGAGCGCAATATTGAAACTATTTGTGATTCATGTCAGTGTGCTAAAAGTCATCAATTACCATATCCCATCTCTACTAGTGTCTCCACTAAACCTTTGCAATTGATCTTTTCTGATGTGTGGGGGCCTGCCCCCTCCTCTGTTGGTAGACACACATATTATGTAAGTTTTATCGATGACTATAGCAAATTTTCATGGATCTATCTTCTCAAAAAAAGATCCGGTGTGTTTCAAGTCTTTCACAACTTTCAAGCTCTCGTTGAAAGAAAGTTCAACAGCAAGATCATTGCTGTCCAATCGGATTGGAGAGGGGAATACGAGAAACTCAATTCCTTCTTCCAAATCATAGGTATATCTCACCATGTATCATGCCCACACGCTCACCAACAAAACGGGTCAGCCGAACGCAAGCATAGGCACATTGTCGAGGTTGGTTTGGCCCTCCTAGCAGGAGCCTCCATGCCTCTTAAGTTTTGGGATGAGGCTTTTCTTACAGGCGTCCACATCATCAACATGCTACCTAGCCGTGTTATCAACAATGGAACACCTATGGAACGTCTCCTACATACAAAGCCAGACTATACCTCTCTTCGTGTCTTTGGTTGTGCGTGTTGGCCAAATCTTCGGCCTTACAATAACCGCAAACTCATGTTTCGGTCAAAACGGTGTGCCTTTCTTGGATATAGCGCCCAACACAAAGGCGTCAAGTGCCTTGACATCTCTACTGGTAGGGTATACATCTCACGTGATGTTGTTTTTGATGAGACAAAATTCCCCTTTGCGGATCTTCATCCTAACGCCGGTGCACTACTCCGCAAGGAAATCTTGCTTCTACCCTCTCATCTTTCCGGCTATGATCAAGGGGGTATTACAAATTGTGATGATCATATGTTGACTAACCCTACTAATAGCCTTCATGAGTCTTGTGATGATGCAGAAAACAGTGCAAAAATCGCAGCAGAAAACAATGAAGAAAATGGAGCAGCAGGCCCTCATTTTATGTGTCCTGGCTCGGGGGACATATCTACCTCGGGATTGCCCCAGGTGCTGCAGCCATGCAGCGGATCTTCCTCGGGATCCGCGTCTGGCAGCAATCCTGCCGGGCCAACCACGGCAGGCGCAGACGCGCGCGGGGCCGAGTCCGCATCAGCCACGCGGCAAAGGCTGGCGGGCTGCGACGCTTCTCCTCGCGCGCACGACTCCGCGCTCGACAAGCGGCAGGCCGGCACTGGCTCGGGCCGTGTCCAGCGGGAGGCCCAACTGCATGTGTACACGCGCCGCGCCGCCACTGCTCGTCAGGTGGACGCGGGGACAGATCCGACCAGCCCAGGGCCCAGGCAATCATTGGGTCGTGATGATGCGACCAGGCCCAGATCTTCTGCGGCGAAATCGTTCCCCACACCACGATCCACGACCACAGAATATCCTACCCCGTCATCGCCTAGTGACGCTGCCGGCTCTGGAGGCCCGCGCGGATCCTCCTCGGGATCAGGCGAGGATCAGCTTGATCCAGACCCAGGATCTTCTGCGCCGGATCTCTCTACAGAAGCTCCTGCTGCTACTCCTCCACGTCGAACACGATTGCAACAAGGGTTAATTAAACCTATTGATTATAAACATGTTACAAAATATGGGCTGGTATGTTCTACAGGTGAATCAGAAGAACCCAATACTCTTGAGGAAGCTTTGGGTGATGCAAATTGGAGAAAAGCAATGCATGATGAAATCATAGCACTTAAGAAAAATAGAACATGGCATTTGGTTCCTCCACAACGAGGTAAAAATCTTATTGACTGCAAATGGGTCTTTAGGATAAAAAGGAAAGCTGATGGAACCATTGACCGTTACAAAGCCAGGCTCGTTGCAAAGGGTTTTAAACAACGGTATGGTATTGACTATGAGGACACGTTTAGTCCAGTTGTAAAAGCTGCTACTATTCGTCTTGTTTTGTCCATTGTTGTGTCCAGGGGATGGAGTTTACGTCAGCTAGATGTTCAGAACGCGTTCCTTCATGGTGTTCTGGAAGAAGAGGTTTACATGAAACAACCACCTGGGTTTGAAAACACACGTGCACCACTGCATGTGTGCAAACTTGATAAGGCATTGTATGGACTAAAGCAGGCCCCAAGAGCATGGTACTCTCGCCTCAGTAAAAAGATGCAAGCACTTGGTTTTGTTCCTTCAAAGTCTGACACTTCATTGTTTATTTATAACAAATCAAGTATATCCATATTTGTTCTCATATATGTTGATGATATAATTGTGACAAGCTCATCTGATGAAGCAATAACTGCACTGTTGAAGGATTTGAGTGCAAAGTTTGCTCTCGAGGATTTAGGAGATCTACATTATTTTCTTGGCATTGAGGTAAAGCAACACAAGGATGGCCTTCACCTTTCTCAAGAAAAGTATGCAACAGACTTGGTAAAAAAGGCTGGTTTGCAAAGTTGTAAGCCTGCACCCACTCCCTTATCCAGCACAGAAAAGTTATCCCTTGTTGAAGGAGAGCCTCTGAGTTCAGAAAATGGTACAAAATACAGAAGCCTGGTAGGTGCAGTACAGTATTTAACACTGACTAGACCAGACATCTCCTTTGCTGTTAACAAAGTATGTCAGTTTCTCCATGCACCTACCACTGTTCATATGACTGCTGCAAAACGTATAGTAAGATATGTGAAAAATACGTTGAATGTTGGCCTAAATTTCAGCAAGTCATCCTCTACACTTATCAGTGCCTTCTCTGACTCTGATTGGGTTGGATGTCTAGATGACAGACGTTCAACTGGTGGCTTTGCAGTTTTCTTTAGACCTAATTTAATATCTTGGAGTGCAAGGAAGCAAGCTACAGTTTCAAGATCCAGTACAGAGGCAGAATATAAGGCATTGGCAAATGCAACAGCAGAAATCATATGGGTGCAGTCAATCCTAAAGGAACTAGGTATGAAAAGCACTAGAGCTCCATGTTTATGGTGTGATAATCTAGGTGCTACCTACTTGTCAGCAAATCTAGTTTTTCATGCCAAAACTAAACACATTGAGATAGATTTTCACTTTGTTCGAGAAAGAGTTGCAAACAAACTTCTGGATATTCAATTTATTCACTCTCAAGACCAAGTTGTTGATGGCTTTACCAAAGCTTTACCCACAAGAAGTTTTGAGGACTTCAAGCATAATCTCAACTTGATAAAGTTGTGATTAAGGGAGGATATTAAACGTGATATAATCTTCACGTATATACCTTACGTACAAGGAGAGGAGACCCTGGCTAACCACATGAGTAGTAGTTAGACAAGATACTCATGTAATCTTTATCTTCTTTTACCTTTTGTATTTCTTCTCCTCCAAGATGTATCTCTACAACAACTTGTACGCATATCCGGGCTTGCAACCCATCTATATAACATGAAACACGTCGGCCAGGATAGGCAAGACGTTTACCGCAAGTCGCACACACAGGACCAATTATCAATCCCTTAGCATCAACGTTGACACCAAATGACCATCTTGTCGCTTGGAGTAGAATACACACTATATCCACTATGCCATCAATTAGATAAGGTTTAATAAACAATGGAGTCAGCTCATAAAATAACCCCCTCTTGTCCACTGACGTGTCATAGAAGTGTGCTCGGATAGCTGTGAGAAATTCGTAAATTTGCTTTGCTTTTGCTTTAGTTGCTTTTTTGGTGGAACAGTATGTTTTGAAACCATCCCCCCTAAGGCAACAGTATGCTTGCAATTCTTCATCATAAACTGTATCTCCCAACTCTGGCACAATGAACTTGTGTTTCTTTTTGGTACAACCCTCAAGTTTTTCATTTATCCTCTCAATTATCACTGAGGGAGGACAATCTTCTACTATGACGTACTTCTCTGTCAAACGTTGATTCGTGTCCATAAAAGGATTTAAGAAGCGTCCTTTAATCAACTTATCAGATAGGCTGGGGGTATCTGCTAGAAAACGTACATAAAAAGTGTATCAAGCAAACGAAACCGCACTCATTAAAACAAATGGCATGAAAGGCCAAGTTTTACACAACTTCAATTAATATATGTTTTTTGTGCTGCACGCAATTATTTGCACACACAAAAAGCATTGACAAGAAAACCGATAGGCATTTTCGTAGCATTGTTTTATTTATATATTTACATAGCATTTTTTTATTTATATATTTACACAGCATTGTTTTTCACAGCTAAGATTTCCTTGAAAATATGTCAGAATATGGAAAATGTTCATCTATCCATAATTAAGATATTTCAACCTTTGGGACCATACCTTCATCAGGTGGGGGCCTGAAAAGTAAGGGATCAGCGTCCGTCCGTCTTGGGATGTCGTCTTCAGTTGCACGCTCGCCATGTGGTTCAGAATGTTCTCCCATTTTCCTGGAAATGGAAATGAAGAAAATCTTAGACTTGGAAGTTCTATGAAAGGATATATCAGTTCTGAAACTTCTTAGATACCTTTTATAGAAAAAGATATAACTTTCTTTGTTTTCTTTTCTACACCCTCCTTAGTGATAGATGTAACCTGCAAATACACCCGAGTTAGAAATATTAGTTCTAGACTGTAAACAAAGCTTGCAAATAGTCAAAGCAAATTACGGGAATCAAACACGGAACATACCCGTTCGTCATTGATCTCGTACCATTCTCCATTATACTTGGTGAAGCACCAATAGTGCCCACCTTTTGGGCCATACTGCCTATGATGAATGACTCCATATAAGTCATACTTTTGTTCGACTCCTCCATTAGCACTCACATAAGGTGAAAAGTCGAAATCCATGGGGCAGTCAACATCATGTACGAGCTTAGTAGAACCTTCACCAGTACCAACAGGTCGACCAAGACATATGATCAATATTTCTGGACAAGCCACGATTCGAGTTTCCTCACTCTTTTTGTGGAGTGAGCATCTGCATTGAAATCCACAAATTGGATCATGTGACTCATCAATAAATTATCATGGGCATTTATGAAAATATTATCACACAAGTGTTTACCCTTCACATCGAGAATTCAATGGTTTTTTCATAGTGAACGCATCCATGCATTCTTTTAAGCTTTTGAAGCCAACTTGATCCTCAAGCTTGATAGGAATTTCCAACATCTGGAAATCTCTAGTTTCGCCTGCCTTTTTGAATCCACATTCGCATACATGCTTCAAAGATACGCAATATATACAATTATATTTTTGTTGTAACAAAAGATTACTATGGTTATGAATTTAGAACAAAACAAAATATACCTCTGTTAGTAATGTTCCAGAAAATAGCTGCTCATATATGTCTATATTTTTGGGGTGCTTCTCTGCAGGAAATTTTGACAATATTGCGCTACACAGAAACTCACCCATTTAAGTTACTAGAGTTGAAATCTAGCACAGAAAGCAAAAAAGCAAAACTAGATACCCACCACAAAAATTCATCAGCGCTGAACTGAGAACCAAGACGGTTATTCTTAAAGTCATCACCTAAATCTTCCAAACGATTAAGAATCATAGTAGGAAGAAAAGCTGTTGAACTTTGTAAGTCCTCTAGAAGGTATCTTCGCAAACAGCAAGATACACACAAATCACCCTCTTCAGGACCTGAACAAACAAACCATATGATATGTTAATTGTATAACTTACGCATTTGGCTACATGTAGATACAAGGATGTCAAATACTAAAACTCACATGTTTTCCCATAATCATCTCCAGAAAGATACTTCGAAAAACTTTCAGTGGCCTTTAAGCATTGTAGGACTGAATTTGCATAACAACTGAAAAAAATATAGTTAGAACAGCAAAAAAAAGACATTGCTTATGGTGAAAATTAATGGTGTAAGGTTGTACTTGAGGGATTTATTTAGATGTCCCATGGGTTTGCGCTGCAAAAAATGATATAAGTTGAATACTAAGTTAGGATTTAAGCTAAGCAAAAAGATTACATTTATGCTCTTATATAGATGATCGATTAATAAATCATACACCTCACTCACATTGTTCTTATCCTTCACAATAACGTGCACGCTGATGTTTTTCTCAAGTTCTCCAAACACCAAGTCATCCTCTCCGTTTTCCATCTTCAATTCTTTGAAGACAATTATGTGTTGTTTGGAGTCATAAATGGCCCAGTTGTGCAAGTCAGAATGGAGGTCTTTCCATGTATATGACTTTCTGTCAATATCCTTTTCTTTGTCCACATCACCCATTTTCTCAGATGAACAACCATTGTGACTACAGTCGTACTAGATACGAACCCTCAGTTTATGCCTACACATACAATTCAATATATGAGAGAGAGAGAGAGAGAGAGAGAGAGAGAGAGAGGTTACAAGAAAATTGAAAATTGCGATCAGAACTAAAATAGAAGACAGAACACCAGAACACTTACATAGATTTATCCTTATCAGCTTCCATGATGCTAAATCATGCTCGGTACGTTGATCTTGGGGACAACGCGTTCACCCTGCTGCACAAGTCCAACAGGCAGTGTGGTTACTGTTGGGTTTAATCACCCTCGGTACTTTGATTTGAGTAGTAAAATTATTCATCATCCGGCAACACTTTTCAAACGATGTTTTGTAAATATCTAAAGCTAACAACTCAAAGTAAATTATATATAAAACTACCAATTAAAAGTAGACACTATTCATCATCCGAGAAACTATTCAAACCATGTCTTGCAAATTTTATCTAAATTGAATCATACAAGTCAGGTGACATTTCAGTTATTAAGTGGAAGAGGTTAAGAAGACAGGTTACTCACAAGTTAAGGCAACCTGAGTATTGGGAACTGTACCAGAATAACTCAAAAGTCTACAGTAAAAATAACTGTATCAGAATATACCAAGTCAAGAACTATAAAATTCTTGGGTAGAAATAACTGTGTTAGCCTGCTAGGATATGTAAGACAAGCTAAAGATTAATTAGTTAGTGCGTGGTAGTTGTTTGGCGGGAGTGGTGGGAATGTGGGCTGCACCAGTTTAAGCAGTAGCATTTGCTTTGAGTAGTATAATATGCCCATAAACAAGAGTTGTGTAAGTCAGGCAAGAAGGAAGTACAGAAAATAAGCTCGAGCTCGCTGTGTCCTGTGAGTTTCTTTTCTTTTTGCGAGTGGTATCCTGTGAGTTTTTCATGGTGTGTGCAGTAACATGAGCTGCAGCTCTAACTGCGCGGCAGGCATGGTGAGCAATCTTCAAATCATTCAAAAAAAAAATGAGCTGCAACTCTACATATCCATGCACAGGCACATAAAACACAAAATTCAGTACTCCAAAAACAGAAAAATACATGTAGTTAGCAGAAGGTCGGCTAACAAATTTACAAGGGACAGCTTAATGAAGAACTTGCAATGACCAAACTAAATTAAGAAGATAATATTCTTCCTTAGACCTTGCAATGGCCATACCCAATCAAGAAAAGATGTTACCAAGCAAACCGGACCTATTGACCCTTTTGCTATGGTAAGGCGTTGAACTTCATATATCCCTTTTTTAGTCAATCCAGAATATCGTACATTCAAACTGAATCATATATTGGGTTTATTAATACCTTTGGATTCATTACTGTACAGGAAAAATGACCTTCTCATTTGGTCAAAAAGTAGTACAATAATATGCAGATTGTGTGATGCAGAATACTTATTTTTTTGCATGGATAAAAAATACTTGTTGCATTCCAGTTTAAAAGCACTACCAGATCCTTGTGTGACTACGGGCAAAGTATTCCATAAGCTTTTACGCTCAACGGTGAACATTGGAACTCTCAGGGCATTTTATATTTACCATTAGAGGATCTACATTTCTGTATGACGTGCAAATGTGCAATGTATTGTATCAGATAGGGAGATGAGTAAGAACAAGCGTTAACCGGTTCTTATGCTGCTAGACAGAAAATTACATACTCCAGAGACAGAATCAAGATTCTAAGCTAGTAATCAGAAAGGAGCGCGTGAAGAATAAAACCTTCAGATTAGACTGTCCCGAAGAAGAGGTGGCTTGAACCCTTGCCTTCTTGGGAGCTGATCTTCTGTTAGACTGGAAGGTAGAAAAAAACAAGCAAACTCCAATCATGACTCTATTTCATCTTAGTACAAAAGAAGAAACTGCTAACAAAAGTTAATTAATCTCATGGTACTGTCCACATTAACATGGATCAAACATGTCAAATAAAAGATTAACACGGATAAAATCCATGTGACATTACACATACAAGTGGACCTCTGCACCCTCCCCTGTGAAAAAAAGGATTGTGTTCCAATCTTCAACTTTGAGCACAAAAATATTGTGGAAAACTTCGCGTGTAGTCACACAAGGATCAGGTAGTGCTTTTAAACTGGAATGCAACAACAAGTATTATTTATCCACGCAAAAAAAGGTATTCTTGAACAAAACGGACCCGCTCCCACCCCCGAAACCCTCGCCACCGCCACCTCCCCTGCCCGTCTCCGGCGGGAACCGGCCGCCCTTGCCGGCGCGCGGCCCGAATCCGCCCCCCTCCCCCGCCCTTCCTTCCCCGCCCCTCCTTCCGCCCTCGCGCCGCCTCCCCGGGAGGCGGCCGGGGCGGCCCCTACGTCTCTCCGCTCGGCTTCGCATCCTCTTCCTCTCCCCTGCCGTCGCCGGCGGGCGCCCCCGGCTCCGGCCCAGGGGGTGCCGGCGGCGGCAGGATCTCCTTTCCCCGCGCGCATCCTCCTGGCCCGAGGCAGGGGGGCGGTGGCGGTGTCGCTCGGCTTGGCGGGGGTCCGGTGACCCGGCGGGGTGGCCGGCGGCGGATGTGGTGGCGGCGCTGCTCCTTGGCGGCGGGGCGGCGTGGTGGTGCGGGGTGGCCGACGTCGCGCCCCCGGCCCAGATCTGGTCCTGGCGGGCCCCATCTGGGTCCTAGCGGGCCGGCCCCCCGGCGTGGCCTCGTTGTCTGCGGCGCGGTGAGGAGGAGCGGCTCGGATATGGGGCGTCGGCGCCGATGGCGTGATGGCAGCGGCGCGAAGGCGGGAGCTTTACGGGCCCACGAGGGCTCGGCCGGGCCTGTGGGCCCACGGGCCTGGTGTGCTCCTGCTATTGCGTCCAGACGGCTACCGTCGCTGACGGTGGAGGTGGGGCCCTCCCGCGTGCCGACGGTGCTGATGCCCTAGTCCCGGCTCTGATTCTTCGCCGCGCTGTCCTCACTTCGCGGTGCCGTGGTGAGATGGCGTGGGGGCCTCATGACCGCGTTGGCGCATGGTGGTGGTTGGTTTGGTGGCTGGATCCGGAGCGCCCGAGGTGCGGGTTGGGATCGGGGGAAACCCCTGTCGGCGTGGCCGACACCGGCGCGGTGGCGCCTATGGGTGCCACCTGACCTTCCGGGAGGGCGTCGGGGGCTACCCTTCCTCTCGCCTCGTCGTGTACCGGGGGAAACCCTTGGCAGCAGTGTCGTCATCGTCGCGATCCTTCTTGGAGGTGTTGATAGGTGCCGGCGCTTCGGAGTCTTGGAGCCTAGTGGAAGATCCCGGTGGGCGCAGCGATCGTGAGGCTTCTTCGTTTTTGTTGATCCGCCATTGTCGGCATTTGTTTCTTTTGCTCTTTCTCTGTCGTTTCTTTTGGGCGTGACTGTGCTGCTTCCGCCCCAACACCTATCTCTGTATGGTTCGGTTGGTTGCTTTGTATACAAAGCGGGGGGAAACCCTTTTTCGGCAAAAAAGGTATTCTTTATCACACAATCCACACATTATTGTACTACTTATTGACCAAATGAGAAGGCGATTTCTCCGGAACAATAGCTAAGTCTGCCCTGATACTATCACTTGGATCTCGAACACTATCTATGATAATAAATCCAAAGGTATTAATGAAATGTCCAAAAATATATTCAGTTTCAATGCATTGATATTCTAGACTGAACAAAAAACAGGGATATTGGTCGGCTACTCGGGTTTGAATACCCGAATTCAAGGCCTTGCTATAGCCAAAGGGTCAATAGGTCGTGTTTGTTTGGTAACATCTTTTTTCGATTGGGTATGAAAATTGCAAGTTATAAAAGCACTACGTGATCCTTGTGTAACTACGGTAGGGTTTTTACGCTCAAAGTTGAACACCGGAACACTTGGAGCGTTTTAGATTTATCGTCAGAGGGTCTACATTTTTATTGTTAGACTATATGGAGGGCCAAAGCTCCCCGGGTTCCATTGCACTAACGAAACCAGAGTAAGCGTAACAGTATGCAGAACATGTTCATGAAGCTACTAACTAGAAGAAGAGCAAAGTTCAAAGCACCTCCAGCTACTTATTACAGATGCACCAAAATTGCATATAGCTAGGTTTCCAATACAGGAAAGGAAGCTACTCCAGCCTACAAGCGCCAGGAGCAGTCTGCAGTCCAGCGGTCAAATCACCTTGAGTGCATTCTAAATTTTTATATGTCGTAAAATGTGCAATGTCTTGTATCAGAGAGGGAGATGAGTGAGAACAAGCGTTGACAGGTTGTGGTAAACAGAAAATTACATACTCCAGAGAAGCAAACTCCAATCATGACTCTATTTCATCTTAGTACAAAAGAAGAAACTGCTAACAAAAGTTAATTAGTCTCATGGTACTTTGCACATTAACATGGATCAAACATGTCAAATAAAAGATTAACACGGATAAAATCCGTGTGACATTACACATACAAGTGGATCTCTATACCCTCCCCCGTGAAAAAAAGGATTGTGTTCCAATGTTCAACATTGAGCATAAAAATATTGTGGAAAACTTCGCCCGTAGTCACACAAGGATCAGGTAGTGTTTTTAAACTGGAATGCGACAACAAGTATTATTTATCCATGCAAAAAAAAGGTATTCCGTATCACACAATCCACACATTATTGTACTACTTATTGACCAAATGAGAAGGCCATTTCTCCAGAAGAATAGCTAAGTCTTCCCTGATACTATCACTTGGATCTCGAACACTATCTATGATAATAAATCCAAAGGTATTAATGAAATGTCCAAAAATTTATTCAGTTTGATTGCATTGATATTCTAGATTGAACAAAAAACAGGGATATTGGTCCGGTTTGAATGCCCGAGTTCAAGGCCTTGCTATAGCCAAAGGGTCAATAGGCCGGGTTTGTTTGGTAACATCTTTTTTTGATTGGGTATGGACATTGCAAGTAATAAAAGCACTACCAGATCCTTGTGTGACTACAGTAGGATTTTTACGCTCAAATTGAACGTTGGAACACTTGGGGCGTTTT